TACTCGTCTTACCAGTTAAGGCAGAAATACCCAGGTGTTCAGAGACTCGTGTATGTAGATGGCGGACCGTTTGGCCCACATACGACGCAGAACAGCATCGACACTTAAAAGAATAAACTACACAAGACCTCAAAGCATCGGGAATTTTGTCCTTAAACATGAAGAAATTGGACAAACGTAGAGTGGGGCGAAAAACGATTCTGATGTTTATATGTGGGAAGGCTACAGAGCAAAGGCGTTGAATTTGGGTACGGATTTGGAGAGAGTGTGTTCCGGTATATGGAAGACAAAAGTATACCACTTTCTTAGATACAGAATGGATTAATTCCTTGGGTTGAAAGGTTTTATCAAGAAAGAGTCGAACACAATGATCGAAAAAACGAGTAGGATAACCGTTCTGCTTGAGGACTTTTCTATAAAACTCAATCTGAGCATGGAAATTCTCATAGTTAGAGCAAATATTGAAAAAGCGGTGTAATAGTGAATATATTAAACCATGTTTAAATTGTAGAGGAGTGAAGCTATGGAAATTAGTTAAAAGCCCTGTGAATGTAGGTTTACGATAAACAGAGGTTTCAAAGTGACCATTAGTTTGTGTGATAGTAATGTCTAGGAAGGAAAGTTGACAATTGGATTCAACTTCACACGTAAAGTTAATGTTAGGATGTTGGCGATTGAGATATGCAAGAAAAAGAGGAATATGGTCCCTAGAACGGAATAGAAGGAAGGTATCGTCTACATATCGGCGATATAGTAAAGGCTTAAAATTGGTAGGGCAATTATTAAGCCAAATGGTTTCATGAAAAGATAAAAAAATGTTAGGAAATAGAGGCCCAAGAGGAGAGCCCATTGCTACGCCGTCTACCTGTTGATATAGGGAACCATTGAACAAGAAATGGCAGTTTTTGACAGCACAATTCAAAAGTTGTTTGAATTCAGAGCGAGTGAGATCATGAAAACGGATGGCATTCGAAAACAAGCGATCGGCAATTATTTCAATGGTTTCGTCCAGTGGGATATTAGTAAACAAGGACGTGACATCAAAGCTAGCCATGGCAAGATTATCGGAATTAAAGTCTAGACTTGACAACTCCTGCACAAAGGAGAAAGAATCACGAACCATGTAGGGGCTAGAGCAAATAGGACTTAGACTGGGAACAAAGAACTTGGCAATCTTATAAGAATAATTATTAATACATGATAGAATTGGTCTAAGTGGAATATTATTCTTGTGTATTTTCGGAAGTCCGTATAAGATACCAATGTGAGAGCCAGTAGGATAGAGTTGTTTATAGGTTGCTTGTGTGATTGATTCAGATTTCTTCAATGAGGCTAGAAGGTTTTTAATTTGGTTTTCACGCTGCAATGTTAATTTGACAGGATCAACATCAAGGCGTTCAAACTTGCTAGTGTCACTCAAAATATCTTCCATTTTCCGGTTGTAATCGCCACGGTCGAGAATGACAACTCCATTTCCTTTATCTGGCTTCACAATGACGATGTTTTTGTCCTTCTTTAAATCATCGAGTGTTTTCAAATCGTCCTTGGAAAACAAGAAATCGGGTCGGCTGTAACTGTGGTGGCCAGAGAGTGCGATATCTTACCTGTAATGACTATGTACCAAATCAGAGACCCTGGCTACGCTACCAAACTACTGTAAGTTTTATTTGTGTGCTCCGTTTTGATTGGCTTTTATAGTTGTGTTTAATTTTGGGGGAACGTGAATCATTTTCTGGTTCATTTTTGCTTTCATTGTTAATTAACAAAATCCCTTTGTACATTGTAATCTGATTGTTACATTAAGGTGGTTCCCTACAGTTTCAGTTGTCCGCTCATTACTTGACAATAAGGATGGCAAGATAGTCCTTATAGATTCCACTTGGTTTATCATAAATTTACAAGTGTAAATTATATTTCACTTGCGGGCTGCTCTTCAGCTAAAACGTGATGCATTCATGCATTGTTGGTTACTAGTTACTACACTGTTGATCTACATCAGTGATATCTACATACAGCTTGCCATATCAACTAGATCTCTTTTTAGGACCAGGTTGTACCCTTGCATGCAGAGAAATGGTTAATATTTGAAATTCTAATAGGGCCAAAGTTGTCAGGTTGGATAACCGTAATGAATTTGATAAGGTATAAGCCAGTGCCTGTTGTTCACTGTTATGCAATGCCTTTTAATTTAACTGTGTAGAGCCACCTTAATATTCACATTAAAGTAACTAAAACTGTTCACAAAATATTAATAACAGTATGAACTTAATGACTATATGAACATTTATTTTCTCTCAGGTACTTTATGACACTCCATTAGCTTGCATCAATGCAACACCTCTTTGAAATATGTCAATTCCAAAGTTTCCAGATACATGAAGCGGATTTACCTAGACGATTTACCTATTGAGACCATTATCTGGTGGTATAGGCCCATCTGTATCAGTACCGTACCACTGTAAGTCATCATCACCCATATCTCTTTCACCTCGTACATCCACTACAGCAGTAAGCCTTTCATTGACTCTGTTCATCATTCTGTTTGACCATATTTGTTCTGGAGTCCAGTTTCTTTCTGTTCTAATTGGATGTTTGTTCCAAGCATCAACAAAACTTTCAATTGCGGTATTAATTCTTGGTAGGTAGACATAATGAAGTATAAACATATGCAATGGGTTGGTAATATCAAGCAAACCAGAGGTTTCCATTGATTGGAAGGTGTAATAGAATACATTTTCAAAGCATCTAAAGACATCACACCATAAACGCTCAATTCTCTGGTTACGAGTTGAACTACCAACAAGAACTAACCCTCTGTTTTCACCTCTCATCGCAATCATTTGTTGCCAAACCAAAACATTCTCACCCCCATGGTCCGTGCGGATGCGTGAAGGCCATGAATGTTTCTCAATGCTTTGCAAAAATAATCTTTCCACAGTTTCCGACCTGTTATTGGTTGCACACTTTAAAAAGCAAATTAAACGCGAGTAACCGTCAATGCAACCATGCATAACAAACCCCCAGGTGATTAAACTATGGTGACCATCTATGTGCCACAAGCTGTTTGGGCCAGCCACTGAATAACTTCGCCTAGAAATTAGAGTTGCCCATCTCAAACGACTATTGCGAGGATCAACTCGTTTTATAGATGCTCGAATACGATCTCTTTGTATCTTTATGTTCATATTTCTCAGGTGACCTTGAACCATTGAATAGCCAACTAGAATTCCTTGAACATTCATGAAAGCTCTTACAATATCATCAAGCTGATCATTTCCGATGTCCAAAAAAACCCAGTTCTTGCCACAATATCCAGCTCTCGTACTCAGCGCCATATAGTCCAACGTGAAACCAACAATAGTCCTTAGGTTTAACAAAACTTCTTCATCAATGTTATATTTAGGCCTTCCTGGTCCTGCACTTATGCAATGTCCAGGATGACTAATGGAAAAGACTGCCAAGTGAGTACAGGCTGTGTTACTTCTCTGCCAAAGTTCTTGTAGTTTGCGACACCACACATGATATAAGAGTTTCAAGTTGTTTCCAACCTCAGATATAGCATCTCTACATTCGTTTACAGATGGCAACACATTTTCCACGAATTTTACAGCGGATTATTACTGGTTTATTACTGATTCAATAACATTTTGATCAATGTTGCCGTCTTGCTCTTCACAAATATCTAACAATGCCGCAACGTCTTCAAAACAGGCCATAAAAAGGCCCTCTTCATTATTTTCAATAGCCGCCATTTTCGATTTCAATTTGGCAATTGGCGCGCAGGGGACTGGTTCCGGATTTGTTGCATATACTGTCAACAGTATGTCCGGGACTTTAAGTTCCCGGACACACTTTTCGCATTTTTATATTCAACAGATTTTCGCATTTATATATTCAACAGAATTTCGCATTTATATATTCAACATTGAATAAGAATGTAAACTTTTCGTGTTGAATATAATTATTTTAGGTTGAAGTTGAATAAATATATTTCATATGTGTTTATTGTTGAATATGAATATAGTTATTGTTGTTGAATATAATTATTTTAGGTTGAAGTTGATTAAATATATTTCATATGTGTTTATTGTTGAATATGAATATAGTTATTGTTGTTGAATATAATTATTTTAGGTTGAAGTTGAATAAATATATTTCATGTGTGTTTATTGTTGAATATGAATATAATTTTGTTGTTGAATATAATTATTCTAGGTTGAAGTTGAATGCAAATATACATTGTTGAATTTTGCAACAAAATGCCAACCATAATTAATGCGCCTGTGAACGGAAACAAAAGCTTCTACAATTACAGTAACTCAAAACATTCATAACAAGGGTCGCAAACATAGATATGTCTATGGTCGCAAATCATTAATTATGGTACAACTAAAATTTTGAAATAAAACGTTTTGTTGGCATGATGACAAATTAATAGTGTCCTTTAATGATTTAGCGTTCTAATTTATTATTAATATCTAGATCGGTGTAAATAAGTAAGAAGTTGCGCGATAAAATTGACATGCATCTAAATCTGTTATTCGTTCAACAGCCTCTGTCACTGTTAATTTTAAATTGTCGCGTACATTATCAGAATAACGCCCATTAAGTTCTGTTTTGACCTTGTTGAAGCAAAGTTAAATAGGATTGAGGTCTGGCGAGTATGTTTGTATGAAAAGTAATTCTACTCCCATTTCTGCTAAAAAGTTTTCAAGCACTTCGCCCCCATCAAAATGGTGAACAGCTAAGTTGTCCATCACAACTATATCGCCTACTGCAATTGCTGGCCTGCCAGTTATATAATTTGCCGCTTGTGATGCCTCCCAGAAGAAATTCCAAAAATGTACTGTATTTGTAGCTCCGTCTACGATGTTCATATATTCAGGACCATTAACAGATATCAACAAATTTAAAGTGGCATTTGGAGATTCCACCCTTTTTTACATACCGTTCACCAACTGGAGCACTTCCATAAAGACGCGTGCCTATTTCAGGAATTTTTACTCCGGCTTCATCGAAGAACTTTATTTTTGCTGGATCCTTTGCAGCAAGGTAGTTTATAAATAACTGTGTGTATACAATATTTTCATCGGTAAAACGTTGCTTTGCCACATGTGTAATTTTTTTTCGTGAATATTGTTTACCGGATAAAAGTTTCGACTTGATAGCTCTCGAAATAGAGGATAAACTGATGCTTTCGACGTCACCAACTTCTTCGAGCACAGAATATATTTCGCTTAATTGCGTAGAACCCTTTACTCTTTTAAGCAGTTCGATAAGTTCATGATCACCGTCCGATAGCTTTCTGCTGTGATCTCCTCCTTTTGGTAACAGATTAATACGTCGCCGTTGGCAAAAATCCCTCCAGACTTTGGAGACAGTATTGTGGGCAACACCGATTTCTTGAGCTATAGATGTAAATGTTACAGGAAGAAAATTATGAGCCGGGATCGCCTCCTCTTTGTAAACATTTATCAACTATTAACGATCGTAAGTCATCACTTAAAGATTTCCCCAAATGGTAAGTTCTACCTCTTTTGCTGATGTTCATCGATTTTGCTTAAAACGCAAACATAAAACGTAATAAATTTGTTTTAAAACGAGCACTCGAGTTTGTAAAACATGCAGGTTTTTATTGTCAAACATGTCGCATGTCACGGTTGAAACGTTTTGTTTCCACGTTATAATTAGCATGTTTGACATGCCCAACATGACGTTTCAAACATAAACAAACGCGTTTTAAAGTTTGCTTGTCACGGTTGCTTGCAAATGGTAATATTACAGTAGGGCTAGGGGCCTACTAGAAACCTATAAGGCTTTTGTTCATTACCAGAAATGTGGGACATTACGCGCCCATACTCTAGTCAGCGGCTTCGCACCTGATAATAGGATTCTAAAACAAGATGGCGGTGCGTTCTGATAAAACTTGTGTGAGGAATCGTGTTGCATATGAAGTTTTAAACAATATAAGTTCAGTTGATTTGCTGTACGATGAAAGGAAAAAACAAATGACAGTTGGCATATATCAAGCCGAGCGCTTGATTGCTCGCAGAAAAGACAGAGAGGTATGAAATAGAGCAGTAAAAATTTGGGTCATGTCACTCATGTGTTTATATAATTTTCGTATTAAATAAAATATGAAATGCTGGACTTTTGTGCAACAATATATTCCAGGTAGACAAGTTGTATGGCATTAATATCAATAGTCTCACCATATTTTGTTTCCTCACTCAAGGGATGGAAGTACTTCGTTAAATGGGCTGGTTATAGTTCATTTGACAACACTTGGGAACCTCAAGGACATCTTTCTCCAGCGTTGTTGAGGTATGTATTTATAAAAAATGTAGAAGCGTGTAGTAAGATGAGATATTTGTTTTAAAACAACTGTTTATAATTGAAAAGTTGACAATGAAATTTTCCATACAGGTCAAAGGTAACACAGTGTTTGAGAAAGTGATATGTTTTATTTAAGTTTGATCTTAATTGCTTGATAAGGTATGACCTTGGCAATTCTTCGGATACAAGCATTAACTCATGATAGATCTCATCACTTACGCAGAATTTGTCCAAAAGAAACAGAACTTTCTCCAGATTACTGTGGTCATCACAACTCAAATCAGATATGCTGGGAGGCGATTCTTGATAGTTAAGAGAAGAAATTGTACCTTTTTCATCCTGCAGTTTAATACTCGTAAGCTTTAAGCCAAAACTCTCACAAAACCACAGAGCACATTGGGTTTTATTTTTGGGAAAGCGGAGCTTTCATGATTGTTGCTTTTTCCCAACCTCATGGAATTTTTTCCCCTGACATTTCACGGAGTTATTTTTTTCAGAGTCTCAATGTAATCAATTAAGTTTTTGTTTACTTCTGTCAGCTCTTGCACTTCTTCTTTTAATTTAATGATTTCAGATGACATTTCTTCATATAATTTAGTTTTGGCCTGATCCAAATCACTGTAGTTCCTTTTGAAATTCTCAAATTCTTCATTTACAAATTGCAACTTTGAATCCAACTCTTGATTTGACTTCACTTCAACCACTTCCCCTCGCTTAACACTGAGCTTATAGACGTTATCATTTAATAAATTGTTTTTCTTTCTTCCCTTGGCTTTTTTATGAACAGAACTAACATAACTGCACTGCTTACGAAGCAATTCGTTAATGCGTTGATTATCACGTTTTATTTTACACCAACAGTAGCATTAACAAGATCAACATAATTATAAATATTTGCATTTTCACAGGAAGTGTGCTCTAGAATTGTTTTACATAAATTAAGTAATCCCCATGGAATTTCCACACAGAACAGGATTTCATTCACTAAATCTGCTTGATGCCTCACATGACTTAAAGGTGATTCTGTAACCAATTTCAATTTGCAGTCAAGCTTTCGCTTCCTGTAGTCTTCTAGTAAATCTGACATTTTGATTTTTGCGCGGGAAAGCAACATACAAAAACACAAAAATCAACCAGTTACACATGGATAACATGAAGTATTGAGGCTGTATTTAACGCTAAAAGGACTAGTAACTAGTTTCAAACAACAAAAACAAAGATGGCTACCCAAAGAAGGCTTTACTCGAAGCATTTGTTAGATAAAAGTAGCCTGCGAAAGATGACATTTCTCAGTGGTTTCGTGATCGAAAAAGCCAAAATTCAACTCAACTGGGAACCTGTTGGTTGTATCCGAACTGATTTTGATTTAAATTTATAAACAATTCAAACATTGAAGTATTCGTTGCGAGCTCCACACTTTGCAATACCCGAATGGAAGTTGTGCAACATAAATTACTATAAATTGTATTGTGATACGCATCAAATAAACGACTTCATCGCATTTATCTCAGGAACCTCTGCGATTTGGTGAAATGATGCAAATTCGTGTTAGATTTGTTGCTTATACATGTCTTTGTTGAAATCGAGCTCCGCAAACATGAACTATTTGATGAAAGTAGGTAAAAATTTGATATTTTTGTTTACTCCTATATAGTTTCTATTAAAATTTAGCCGCCATATTGTCCAATTATTGCATAATATGCACCATCTTGTCCCTTCTGGTAATGTTAAGATCCTTAGACTATGTTATATTTACAGAAACATCATAATTTTGTTATAGACTAAAGATAATCAGTTCATAATCAGTAAATAAAGATAATTATATGTGCAAATAGGACAGTTTATATCAATGCAATTTGCATTTCGTTTTCATTTGATAACAAGTGTTTTTTAAATGAATATGAAATAGAGTTTATGTTCAGAAAAATTCGAAATTTGGGCAATGTAATTTATTTGGAGCACCCAATTCATACGCTTTAAATGCTCTTGCCACAAGTTCAACATGCTGTAAACCCAACGAAATCCTCATATTCAAGCTTGTCTTTTGTAGCCATAAACAGCCAAAGTAAACTGACTATTTGCAATATAATCTCCTATGAGAACATAAAATATAAACAACTAAAACTCTCAATATCTCTCAATATATACCCTTTGGATTCACTTACTTTTATAAGTTTATCTCTTATATCTATGTCATATAAAGCCAATGAAAATTGATATCATGTTTCTCATCCCCGCCCGCATGGGATTTATCTGCTGCACAGAAATTTCTCATTTTTCATTATTTTTGAAAAATAGGCTTAACAAAACACCAAATTGATCTCCAGATCAAAGTCTTATTGCTGCATTCTGCAAGCCCAACTCAAATTGTATCTTTCTAAAGATATTACTCGCCAGAATGCCTCTATTTTTCATGTCAGCCCTGGTATGTGTAGAAATATAGTAGTGTAGGACATAATTAAAATGAATTATACACCGATTTACTTCAGTTTTTATGGGGTTTTTTACTGGGTAAAGGAAATTATTGTCAAGCAGAATTCAAAATTCTTGTTTTTAAACATGATTCTTTTGTAATGTTGTTATGTTTAAACAGAGACGTAATAGCCCTGTTTCTGGCGTTTCGCTGTCGTGAATCCACTGTAAACAGCTCGCCGAAAGGTGTCGAAGAAATCAGCATATTCACGGTTTTCCCCCCAATCAGATTCCATTGAAATCTTTACCAGTAGTTTGAAAATACACACAGATCAGCCAGAATACAAAAATTTGGAGTATCTTTAAATATAGCGTAAGAAAATCAACAAAATGTCCACACAAAATTATTGCTCACTCATTAGTAAGATATATGGCAGCCATGGCTTGGCCGAGCGCTCGCCCCAATGTTTTGCACCTCCAGCAATATCGTGGAATGTAAGCCTGCACAGAACGTATGAGCAGAACAGAACAAGGATACATCATACTGAAACGAAAGTTTGCACAGATCGCTGCCAGCAGTCTGACTGAGCGTACCAAGTGTTAATTACATGAACACCACAAAGGAACGTGTTACACTCAACTTCCGGAGCTGTCAAAAGAACTGAGAAATTTAAAGCTACCTTGATGTAGCATATTGAAGCTATCTTGAACTTACATATAAAAATATAAAAGTATTCTGATAGTTATATTCATGATCATAATACGGAATAAATACAGGGATCGTCTATTAGACAGCACTAAAAGCAGTAGCCACATGCATGCTTAGCGTGCCTAAGCAACATTTCGTCGTTTGCTATAATATTCTCTTCGGTATTGATATGATTTAATTAGAAATTACCCAAAATCCACAGCGTGCCCCCAATGAAACAATTTCGGAGCTGTTGACCCCAGTGTGGAAAGTTCGCTAAATAATGTTGAAAAACATGGAAATATTGACCATATAATAAACAACGATGTTGACAACCATGTTAACTTAGCAACTGCTTAGTTCGGTTTTGACATATGTTGTGATTTGTTATTTCCGGTTGGAAACTTGTTGCTCAAAACGGCTCCTTTAAGAGCCATCAAATTCATTAAAAGAATTAAAAGCTACATGGTTGTAAGGCAAAAAAAATTCTACTGTACCAGGGTCGAACCGGTGACTGATTTGGTAATAACTACAGTTTGTTGCTTTACCAACCGAGCTAATGGCAGATTTTAAAAACTAACTTCTATTTCATACTTTTATACATGCAAACTATCAGAAACCTCTTGTCGATTTTATACAGATGCTTGTTAAATCAAACAACCAATCATAGTAAGCCAAGATTAATCCCTCTATTGTATTGCACACATGGGGGGACGCTAAAAAATGTCTAGTCAGCAAGTTTTGTCCGATCTTGTTTAAGTTCGCCCGTGTTACGTCATTACCTGCCTAAACATGCCCGTGTGACGTCATTGCATATAATTATGATGTATGTTAATGACGTTGCACCACCACATTCTATGCTAATGATGATGTGCCACCACAAAAATAAGGCCCGAACGGCCCCTATATTACTACTGGTCTTTAATAAGTTTGTCCATGATAAACTATTTCAAACATAGCATCTAATTTCTATAACAGCCATAGCTATAAATACAACAATATATGACCAGGATGGAATGTTTAATTAAAATCCAAGCTGGCCAATGGTATGCAAAATGTGTCTTTTGGCATGCAGTAGAACAATTTACAGACATAGTATTTTGTCTATGATAAACTATTTCAAACATAACATCTAATTTCTATAACAGCCATAACATATACATACAACAATATGACCAGGTTGGAATGCTTAATTAAAATCAAATCTGGTCAATTTTAAGCAAAAGGTACCTTTGTGGATTTTTGCATGCAGTAGAACAATTTATAGACATAATTTTGTTGCAACCATTGATGGTTTGTTCAAGTAGAACTATCTCTTTCCTGTTTGATATCCCACAGCCAGTTGGCAATAATTTCTTTTGATGTGTCTGAGTCTGCATCCACGGTACTGCCATTTTGAATAAGATTAAGTTCTTGAATG